TCAGGAACATCCCAATGGACTTTAATTGACTCACAGAACAACATCAGTTGTCACCATGTCTTATTTACTGTACCAACAGCAAAGGGATGTGTTGTTTGTATGTCGAATAGCTACTCAATGTCGCAAAAACGTGCTTTCACATTTCAGTTGGTCTACAAGGGAAGTATCCAACCCTGTAAAAAGTAGATATCTAGCTGTTGTCAAATAGCAGCACATAGATCACAAGTGTTAATCATGAAATAGTCATGAAATCAGTGCTGGTCAAGGTACACGTGGAGCTCTAAATGAGCTTCACCATCTTGGGGTGGGGGGGTGACTCCTCAGAAAAGGTTGCCCTGGCCAATTGCAGGTCTTGCCCTTACCAAGAACCACACCATCATAAAATGTAATTGTCACATTGTATCAGTCAGAGACTGAAATTTTTCACAAAACAGAATGAAAACAAGTGTTTCAGATAAATGTATCCCTTTATTTATAGAAAATATTAAAGGGTATTTCCTGTAGTTTATGAGTTATGAACGTAATACTAACTAAAGTGATCGTCATTACGTACAAGGGTGTGGATTATGTTTATATTTCATTGTGGTCAAATGTCCCCCACAAGGTTATAAAAACCTGTTATTTTGACATTGTGGGGATGATTTTTCAGGTCCCTACAAAGATCTGTGAATGCAAATCAAAAGACTAATGGCCAAAATTTTGTTTGGTTACTCGGTTAGGGCTGAGTAGGGATTAAGGTCGTTATACAGGGATTTGAGATTTACCCATAGAAATGAATGAGGACTCCCCTCAAAGATATAATTACAAATCTCTGTGTGTGTGTGTGTGTGTGTGTGTGTGGGAGGGAGGGGGTTCGTGGTTGGGATGCCAATTACAATAAATGTTGTCTCAATCCCTCATGGGAAATTAAGCTCAGTGGAGATGGACATTTGATATGTGTTCTTACCCCAACACATACTTTTGCCAGAATGTATTTATATTTAGCTACAATAAATTCCTGTCATTCACTATGGATATGATATAACCAAAAATGTGTTTTCACAGTTCAACTAATAAACGTTGCTATGAAATGTAATTTATTAGTCAGGGACTCACATATCGGCCAAAGTAGAGCGATAAATGTTACCATTTGTGTACACAAAGTATTCAGATCATTCTGATTATATGAACATGATTTTTAGTTTTTTGATTGTAGTCATAGATTTTTATAAAACCGAGTTTTCCCTTGTAGGGAATGAAAAAATGGTCCCACCACATCAAAATAACAAGTTTTTATTACATTGTAGGAACATTTCGGCCCCACAGCAAAATATATACATAACCCCCCCCCCCCCACACACACACACACACACAGACCCTAATGCTCATTCATTTCTATGGGAAAAATGCTAATATTAACTATGACAACCTTAACCCCTACCCAGCCCTATCCATAGCAGTAAGTAACCAAACAGAACACGAGATTTTGCACATTTTCAGTTTTTTGATCGCAGTCACATATTTTTAGAAAATTGAGTTTTCCTGGTCCCCATAAGGTCAAATAAATGGGTATTCATCACATTTGGTCCCCACAAAGTAAGGTATATCTGGACCACACACACACACACAGGGGCACCCCACCTTCTAAGCCTCCTCCCCACCATGTTCAGAATGTCAAAACTGAAATGTCTAAACATTAAGTTACATTAAATTATTATTTGTTTGCTATTTGCTCAAGTGTGAGTACACGTACATTGGAATGTGTTAGTTATCACATATCCCATCATGCTTTGCTTTTTAAGACACACACACACACACATAGAGGTGAGAGTGAAGCTGCGGGGTCTGAGCGCATGGTTCTGCACCCCTGGAACATTGTGTTAAAAATATTCTGTGAATCGGCACAATGCCTTGACTCCCACAATCCCTGGCAAAGGGCTCATAAACAGTCACAGGTTTTTATGTTTTCACCAAGCTCTCCAATTACCCCGTCCACTTGGCGACATTTTTACAATGTCGCATTAACATTGTGGCACCATCTTTTCCAGTAAATACATCCAGCCTGGCCCTCTGCCTCTCTGCCCTCGACGGGCACGGTCCAGAAGCTTCCGTGGCCGGGGAAGCAGCGTGGGGGACTCCCTCCTTCCCGCCAAACCCCGTAGGCATCAAAAGAGCGTTAAATAAAGACCTGGCCAACAGTGCTGAGAGCAGAAGCCACCTCCCGCTGCCTGGCTGCCATCACCTTAGATTTATAACCCGCACACAGCAACACCCTGACCTTTAAAAGTCTGCAGACAATTGGACCCCCCCCCTAATCTGTGATTTATGGAGAAAGCTGGCCCTGCACCCTCACTGTGTTTGGTTATGGCACAGAGATTATGACACGGCGAAAAGAGTGTCTGCCATTGAGCTCTCAGAATTAAAAACACTTTTTCTTCATTCCCTTCTCTTGCTTTTTGTATAGAAAAGCAAAACGATTTTTATTTGTTTTGCTAAAGACTATCTGGCACCATTATAAAGGGTAGAAGAGCATGCTTCCTCTAACATGTTTGGACATAAGATTCGGGCCAAAGCTGCCTCAAAGCATGTAGAATTATCCACCTTGAGTTAATCTGGGATTTCCTTTCAAAGACATTGTTTATTAGATAATGATTTCTCAGAAGCACGGTTTCCACCATTCCACCGGTTATTCTTTCTAGACATGATTTTATTCCACTGGACAGACTAGTTAGATATAAAAACAGCAAGACCTTGGTCTGAAGTATGATTGTCTGTGGACACCTGAGGGAATCATTTCAGGGTTAAAGAAGAGGATGAGCTGCAATGTTTCTGGTTTTTTGAGCAGGATGATGCTCATATATTCATTTTATGAGGCAGGTACTTTAATCCAAAAAATTTAGATTAATTTCTTTTGAAAGCAGCGTCGGCTAGTGCCTGAGGAAGCTGAGGGGTCCAACAGTCAAATCATGCCTGGATTGGAAACAACAACCTTCCGGTCACATATACCTATAGAGTCCTAACCCAAAGAGCCAACGGCCGGTAAGTTGCATGTTCGTTGTGGTGTTACACGAGATTACTGCATGTTGGTCAGAGCTGCCCATCTGCTTGTTTTGAAGCACTTTCAGGTTTCTGTGTCACAGCGCTATGCTTGCAGGGGGGGTGGGGTCTCTTGAAATCTGGCCGAGGTCGGAAAGGAGAATGGAATGCTTTGGGGAACAGAGAGCGAGTGGCAACTGGATCTCACACATGGGACAGGTGTTCCCCGCCCAGACCCCCACCAAGGACCACACATCCTCGCTCAGAAGCGTAAACCTATCCTCCCTGGGTGGAGGGCCTGTGGTCCCTTGATGGGGGTTATTTCAGGAAGGGATCACACTGGATTGACGCACATACTGGCCTTCTGTTTTCTTCCAGCTCCTTCTCGAAAATGTTAATTGGTATGTGCTTGGAGCGGCTAATTATAGCATATATGCTAATAGGGCCCCAGATGTATTAGCAGTAAAAATAGAATAACTGCAATTGACAAAAGGCGGACCTCCCAACTGGTAGGATAATCATACAAGGGGAATGAAATTAAATGGTCCGTTATTTACCCTTTGATGAAGAACAAGTATAAATACATTAGATGCTCTGTTTTATATATGCTAACTTGCTCTTCTTTGAGGCACACACACACACACACACACGCACACACATACAGGTGAGAGCGTATGGGATTACTAGTATTACAGCCATTTGAACATTGCTGAGGATAAATTAAAAATTTCTTCCCTCAAGCCCTTTCCATCCTAGCATGCTTCGCATTAATAGCTAAATGGGCGTTCATGCCGTACCAGTGGCGAAGGCACTCAATCGTGATCAACGGTAAACTAGACTCAAAGGACACTAAGTTCACTCACTGTCAGGGTCGGTGCCGTCTGATATTGCCCTTTGTGTCTCTTCCCCATTTGGCTAGCAGGTGTTACTGGTCATCCCTGTCATATAGCCCTACAGCCTTAGTGTGTTGTACCTGCTCCCCAGGCCACTCAAACGGTTAGGTGTGCGGCCCAGAGGCTGTAACCCTCTGGTCACGGGTTTGAGGTTGGTCAGAGGCTAGTCTCGCCACTTTGTATTTATTGGTTTTCTGTTCCCCATTATTTGATATTTTCTATCTTCGTTTCCCTGTTGAAGATTCGCCCTGCTTCTGTTCTGTTTGGATTATCTTTTGTACTTTTGTTCCATTATGTTAGCCTTGTAATTCCTAGCGTATGGCTAATGTTTCTAAGTTTGGGTGTCTATTACATTCCCTAGTTCTGTGCTTGTTATTGTTAGTTACGTCACCTGTTGCTTGTTGCCAGTGCCTTTTCTGTTTGGTTAATTGTTTTATGTTCCACACCTGCCCCCTCATTAGCCCGGCTGCCTCTTAGTTGCCTTCTCCTGCTTGGTTCTTGAGTCTCTCATTGCATATGTTGCTGCAGGGTGTTACTCTGCCTGTTTTTCCTAGTTTTGTCCTTTAGCTTATGGTCTTCCCCAATGTGTTCAGTTCAGTTTAATCAATAAACTCTTGCTGTCTCGGAGCTGCTCAATAGATTGTCATGCCCTGCTATGACACTCACCTGCAGTAAAGTGTAAATGTGTTTTGGTCTGGTCTGAAGGCCAGGAATCCCAGTAGAAGATGCGGTGTTTGAGCATCTCCTCGCCTGATGAAAGTAAATGATTGATCTTATGGGCTGTAGGAGTTTAGGCTCAAACCCACAGTCTCGGCATAATTTACTATTTGGTACAAATCCTGTTTACCAGCACAAACAAGCAGCTATTCAGAATCATGCATGCCTGGGGGCTGCCAAGATTCACTAGCTGACCTGACGAGGACAAATTTAACTGCTAGATAACTAATCCAAAACTGTGGATTTTTTGGTTAGCAATCATTAAATACCATATTGGCAGAGTACAGCTTTAATTCTGCAGACTGTGGCCAGGCCAGACTTTCAAGAACCATATTGTGCACAAACTGGAAGAAGCTGGAAGTGTGAAAGTGTGTTAATTGGGCCAGAGTGCCAGTCCGCCCTTGGTTCCCAGCATCAGGTGAGTCAGTCGTGTGACAGACACGGTCCCCCTAAATACTCTCAAAGCGCGAGGAGAAAGCGCCCTTGCCTAACACAGAAAACCGGAAAGCTGGCATTTTACTTGTTTTCCGGGAGAGAGAGAAAGAGGGGGCGATAAACAGAGGGAGGTGGTCTAAAAATAGATCCCAGCTGCAAGCGTGAAATGACAATGGGCGGCGGGGTTAAATAGAGCCGTCGATCGCGGGTCCGCATGTCCGACCGGCGTCCGGCGTCCGCAGCACAGTAAGCGGAAAGGTAGGATGCTCCGGTTCACCGCCCCGACAGCAGGCAGCTCCGGGTTACCTTACTGACCAGTGCGGTGGGTGATGTTTAATTAAGGAAGGGACCTTTGTGTAGAATAGGCAGGGATGCCCTGTTGTTATCCGCCACTGGCGCGGTAACTGAGCCGGACTGCTTCAATTAATTAACACTTATTAAGTCAATCGTTTTTACAGTTAGCCTATTCAGCAAAAAAAACAATGTCGGACATTATTTTATGCGTTTTCTCTGTCGGTGTTTATCGATGCTATTTATAATAATAATACATTTTATTTATTTGGGAATTATACATTTGCAGTTTAATTGGGACTTGTAATTCTTTAATTATCGGCAATAACGAAGGAATTGGGCACATTACTGCTGTGGATTGTTCGCATTTCAGAGAAGGCAAACACAATAAACATGAAGTTTGTCATTGGAGCTGTCAGACAGTGGCATCTGTTGCTGTCTGCTTCCGTTTCTGGTCCTGCATCTCTGGGTGATACCCACCCAGTCACATATGGGCTATGCATGTCCTGGCATTTCGGAGTCGCATTCTTTCCTAAACGCCGCTCGTACATTGAATCCTCAAGCCTTTCAGATGGTGCAGGACAGCTGTGGTCTTTTACGGTGACCTGATGCTTTATTTACGCGGTCCATCCGCTGTAAGAGGCCAAAGAGGTTCGCCGCAATATCTGTCCCAAATTCCCGGGGCAGTCTGTGTAATTGCCGCTATCCTCACCCCTAGTCAGATTAAGTCTGTTGGGGCCGTTTCTGGGTTCTGTCACTTCTCTGGCAAACCACAAACCATCCGTCCTGATTTAAGGTTGAGTTTCAGATACACTTTTGTCGCAAACAATGCGACCTGCACCCCACGACCGGTGGAATACGAGCCGTCTGAGGCGCGTTTAACCGATAAGGAGGCAGAATCATAAGGACTTATTTTTGTCTTGTAGGTGAAAAACCAAGATGCCAGAACATGGGTGAGTGCTTTGTGTGTCTATTTCTGACTCGTTAACCCGCAAGCCGACTCAGTCACTTCCTTGTACTCCTGCAGAATAACTTAGAGTAGGCCTACTTAAAACGCACCCTGGAAATAAAAGCGGGACAGGAACACACTGAAACTCATCTTTAAGAACTGTTAATATTTTTTTATTCATGATTGTCATTACAATTCAAATAGGCCAATTTTCCCCAAGTAATTGAAAGCAAATGACCATTAGTCTAACTATTAGGCTACTCTCTGTTGCTCTTCTTCTGCTAAGTCCCTTGGGGCTCCTGTATAATAATGAAATATTATGTGTGTGTGTGTGTGTTTTTGAATTGCCAATTTTCATATTTTCTCATTCATAAAAAATGTTTTTCATGTTCTTTTGCAGGCAAGAGGTAAGATGTAAATGTCTTTTCGAAAGGTATTTATGTTTAAATAAGGTAACATTACGAACATTCTGTAACGTATATTAACTTTGCTTCTGATTACAATGCGTCTGTTACTTGTGTACGCGCAATAAAGTACTCAGTTAAAACACCGAACGAATCACCTACTGGCTGTTGTGTTTCTAGAGGAAGTCCAAGATTTCCGCTTCCCGCAAGCTCATGTTGAAGGTAATCATTGGCCAAACGTTACATGTACAAAATAACAGAACGGGAGTGCATCTACTCACCACAAGGGGGTGTGATTGAGTAATTTTAAACACTTACAATTTCTCAAAGCCATAATAAAGATTCAAGAGTTTGTGGTCATGTGCACAGTAAACAATCAGTTACACTGTGTGGTGTAAATACAAAATAAACACAAATACTAATTAAGGTGCTTGCAGTAAGAGAATAAATGAGTACAGTCCAAGTGTTTGCCTCATGTTCACCTGTGTGTGTGTGTGTGTGTGTGTGTGTGTGGGCCCTCAGAGCTTACTGGTGGCCAAGGCGAAGGAGGAGCTTGAACAGGAGATCCTGGACAAGGAGGAGGAGAAGCAGCGGTACCTGGAGGAGAAGGCGCCCCCTCTGGTCACCAGCAGCATGTCCTTCACTGAGCTGCAGGTAAACCGAGCAGCGGGGCAGTGGCTGCTCAGCTCACAGGGTGTCACAGAGTCAGGCTGGGGGAGGGGGGGAGGGGTCCTCGACAAAGTGACTCGGGGGGGGGGGCTGGGGGGGGGGTGCAGCTAAGGAGCATCAGACTGCAGCACAGACCAATATAAAGGCAGTAAAAATCCATACAAGAGCTGTCCTTAGTTACTGTCTCTTCTCCTGTCACACAGAGGCAGGTCAGTCATATTAATCTAGAGCATAGGTGTCAAACTCCAGCCCTGGGGGGCCTGAGTCCTGCATATTTTTGGGTTTCCCCTCATTTAACACGCCTGATTGATCCTCCTTGACAGCCCCTGATCAAGAGGTTCCCAACCCTGCTGCCCACAGACTGGTACCAGTCTGTACCAGTATTCCACTGGGCCACAGAATGCTGGGGATGGAGGTTCCACCGTCCTGTGTATTATGGGATTGTGCCATGCTGAAAAACAAAAAGGGGTGACCTATGAATATAAGCAATTCTGTTCCATATTTCTATATGTATTTCTTACCCCCTTCGTTCAGCGAATGTTATCATGGGGCAAACCCACCCCACCCACTTTACCAGCACAAAGCATCAAAAGTTGGGGAGTTTCTGTCTATCACCAACATTGACTGAGACTGACCTAAAGATGCAAAAGCGATGACTGGCAGGTAACGGAAAAATGGCCATACCTCTGCTTTTGTTGATATAATCAGAGAAACTGTTTGGTTTTTTTTTTTTAGTAAAGAATTGCGGTGACATCTGATATTAAATCTGGGCCCTTCATCTGTTGACGAAACAAGCCCAGACACTGAATATTACAATCTCCAGGGTAACACGCCTGTAAATTCAATTTTCCAGCTTTAAGATCTGCCCACATTTCATAGTGGTTTTCATTTTGCAGTCAGCTGTGAAGCGTAACCTTTATCGTAATCCTACACATGAAAGCATAAACACATCATTAATGCACGATCAGCTCGTTATCAGATAGGTCTTGACGAAGGACTGCATTTTAAGGTGTACTGTGTCGCTCTACATAGATGCAGGCAATGAAATAGTTTCCCTGAGAGCTCCCTGTAATTATGGTTAATGATAAATAAAAGATCAATTAAAAAATAAGATAATGAAATGGATTAAATTTGTTTTGACTTGCGAAATGAAGGGCACGAGGGCAGCCGTTAGGGGAACAAGGGGGGGTTTTATTGGGGTCAAAACAGGAGCAGGGAAATAAACAGGATCACAAGGGGTCAAATGTGAAGGCTAGTACAGGGAAGGACAAGTAAACAGCAGGAGAGACATTAATGACCGGACTGGGGGACGCAGGACTGGGAAGCACTTAAATAGAGGTCTAACGAGGGGCTCACACAGTGCAGGTGTGGGTAGTTAGCTAATAGGGTTGGGGACAACGAGAAAGACACACCTGGGGAGAATAAGAAGGGATTTGGAGGACCAGCAGCAACCCCCCTGCTGGTCATAGCATGGGATGGACTGGACAGGTTGTGAGAAAGTTAAGAAGAAATGGGAATCTGCGGTGTTCGCACTCACAGCCTGATCGGCCTTTGAGCAGCTTCAGGGTAGAAGCTCTTCTGGAGCACGATCGTCCGCGGGTCGATACTCTGACACCGTTAGTGACAGCTAGTGACAGTTAGGCAGAGTCCCCTTTCCCTGCCTCCCTATGAGACCCAGTCATATCTCACGCACATGCCCACATCTCACAGCTGCTCCTCTTTGTGCCAGGAATCAATGTATTTCTCGCTCAGTCTGGTTTTGTAGATGCTGTTTGATCTTCTGTCATTGCTAGTTTGTGAACTGTGACGGTGTGGGTGTGGCATACAGTCATCTAGCTTACACAGACTTGCATGCAGAACCGGCTCACTGCTGGACTGGCTACGACCATAGTTTACACCTGGCTTTTATTAAAACAGACTCATTCTCCTTGTATTGGAAGTTAATATGCCTGGGGGGGGTTAGCCAGTCTACCTTGGGCCCCCCAGAAGTGTTTCTTTCCCTCCTTACTTGGGAGTTTTTGGTTCCTCTCCTCTGTTGTCCTCTGGCATTCTTTCTTTCCCTGTTTCATGCACCATTTTACGCAGATGATGTCATAATGGATTTACAACTTCCAAACAACAGGGTTCGCAGTTATTCCTTGGAGGGTTTGTACAATGTTATTAGTGTCCTCGTCATTGTCATTAACAAACCCTCTAGAGGTGCACTATGCAGGCCCAGATGTTTAAACGGCAAACCCACGCCTCCTCCGTCTCCAGGAGCTGTGCCGTGAGCTGCACGCTAAGATCGACATTGCGGATGAGGAGCGGTATGACATAGAAGCCAAAGTCATGCTCAACACTCGAGAGGTCAGTGTCATCCTGTCTGGCCATGTTCCCCGATCATGGTTCCCCGATCATGGTTCCCCTTTCCAAATCAGGCCCTTAGCCTCACTTCTTCCATCCCTCCATCTTTTCTCTACCCCCAGATCAAGGACCTAAGCATCAAGGTGCTGGACCTCCGGGGGAAGTTTAAGCGACCCACGCTGAGGCGGGTGCGCGTGTCAGCCGACGCCATCCTCCGCTCCCTGCTGGGCTCCAAGCACAAGGTCTCCATGGACCTGAGGGCCAACCTGAAGTCCGTCAGGAAGGAGGACAGCGAGAAGGTGGGCCGTCTGCAGAGGCGGACATTTCAGGTCCAGAAAGTAAAAATCCAAACCAGGATTTTGTTTCAACCAACCAGTTGAGCATAAAGAGCCACAGTCACAGAGTACTCAACTGGTTGGTTGAAACAAAATCCTGGTTTGGATTTTTACTTTCTGGACCTGCAATGTCCACCTCTGGCCATCTGTCTGCCACCGTGCGGCGACCCCCCACCCAGACATCACACCGACTGAAACAAAACAAAATGAAATATTGAGGGGGAACGTCAACACTGGTCAAAATGTTTACCTTCAGGGCGGGAAATATTTGAATGTTTAAACTGAATATTGCTGACAATACTTCCAGAAATATTAGAAATACATTTTCATCCACTTATTTTCTGTAACCACTTATCCTATTCTGGGTTGCAAGGGGTCTGAAGCCTATGAATGCAAGGCAGGGAATAACCCAGGATGGGGCACTAACCCACTGCAGGGCACAGTCACTCACACATGTATACCTACGGACAGTTTGGTATGTCCAATTCCTGAAGGAAACCCCACGATGATATGGGGAGAACATGCACACATACAGAGCTCTGGCGGAGACTCAAACCCCAATGCCAGAGGTGTCAGAGTGCTAACCACTGCACCACCATGCCGCCCAGTAAATACATATATGTATCTAAACTCTGACATAGGACTGCACAAGTTATGTCAAAATGATGTAACACTCAAGTCGTTGCTTGAAAAAGTAAGTTGTCTGTGCGAGGTCACATGTCAGGTAACTTAAAGACCATTGCAGGAAGATCACAAACGGTAATTGCTGCAGATCCAAAACTGACCTTGCAAAGACGTCTTCTCAGTCAGCAATTACATAGTTCAATTACATAGTTCAATTACATAGTTCAATTACATAGTTCAATTACATAGTTCAGACGTAGCTCGTGTATTTGGTTCAGATGCTGGCCAGACATGTGTGTCCTATGTGGGACAGAAACAAAGTTGAGGTAACCTTAAACACAGCCACCATAATGAAACTGTATTGACAACATCAGACCCCATTACCCATAAATGTTACTTCATCTATTGATGTAATATTACAGTGATATTATGTATGTGGTTATTAGTTACGGTGGTTAACAGGGAAAATAGTGGCTGAGCTCATTTATGATATTGCCCTCTTCGTGAAAAGACAGAGTCTGTGAGCTTCCATAAGAGATGGAGATGGATCAACGTACTTACAGAGAGGGTGGAGAACTTCTCATGAAACACTCCAGAAAAATATTGAAGTCTGAACATGCCCATTGGCCCTGAGCCCTTCTGATAACATCACTGAGGATCACTGATCACTGGGAACTCAGGATAGATGCGGGCAGCTGGTAGCTGACACAACACAGACCAAGCATCTGTAAGGGGCCCCCTGTTGGCCATGAACAGTCACTACATTGAATATTAAATAAACGTATTTCTTATGTAGGAGATGCTGAAGCGGCATGTTCTGCTAACCAGCTAGCTAGCTTCCATCTTCTGGCTCTACTCATTATTTTTTTAGTCTGTGAAACATTTGATGTGGGGTGGGGGAGTGAGTTTTTGAATGGGGCCCCAGAAATGGCAAACTGGCCCCTGGGCAAAGGGAAAGGCAGCAGGAAGAAGGCGGGGCCTCTCTGCAGATGGCCTGAGCAAATGCGGTGTGTGTGTGTCAGTTCTGTACCCACTAGCGCTCAGCCCGGCCAGAGAGGTCACGCTCTGGTTTTCTTAGCGACCCCCCCCCAGCGAGAACCTGTCTGACCGGCGTGACGAGCCGTTTGACTCAGCGGGCGCTCGGCAGAAACAGGAGGTGAAAGATGTCATGGGGATTATCTCAGCTGCCACCTTGGGTCCCTTAAGTGGGGGGGGGGGGCATGAAGAAATGTCACTTCCTGGGGGAGTGTGGCCCCACATTGTCACCGTCGCACGATCCAGCCAAGGAGGCAGTAATACGAGCCTGAGACAAACTCCTTTCCATGCCTGTGTGAACAGAACAAACAGACGGCATGGATCTCCGCAAACAGAGCGTGTGCTGTGTATTTATAATGGGGGGCGGGGCTTGGCTGTATGCCAAGTGTCCAGGAACGTGATGGGACGCCACAGGTGTGTATGCATACCAGGGTGTATGTTTGTGTTTTTTTTCTGGGAGGGGGGGGCAGTCCTTATAAATGCCACCTGTCTGGACTCGGCCTGGACCGGATGTTCCTGTTGGTGACCTGGTTCGCCTGAAGCTGAGCATTTCCAGTTCCGAGGAGCGACCCATTCCGGCAGTCCCGGATCGGGCAGCTGCAGTCGGCACGCTCCCTCGCTCTCTCACTCTCTCCCTTATTCTGTCGCTCTATATCACTGTATCCTATCATTCCCTTTCCCTTATTGAGTCTAACATTTGGTTTTACTATCAAGATTTTTTTTTCCATTGACATGAAATGAGACTGTGTTGTCAAAGCAGAAGTGAACAAAAGAAGGTCAACAAATGGGGGCTGATGTGAATAATTGCATTATAATTCATGTAATTACCAACATTCCTATTTCATCATACGGCTCATTACCTAATGCAGTCTCTAATGATGGGAGGTGCTGTTGCCTCACACCACCAGGTTATGGGTTTGAATCCCGGCTCCCTCTGGGAATGCATAATTGCTCTGTGGTACTTGCTTTTTCTCCTCCAATCTAAAGACATGCAGTTCAGCTAATTGGTATCCTTAAATTGTCCATACCACACATGTAAGCACCGTGTGGTGGATGGGCGTCCCGTCCTGGGTGTACCCCAGCATGAGAGAAGCTCCAAGCTCCTGCAGTCCTGTCCAGGCTCTCCGCTCAGATGATAGATAATGGACTTCTGGGTAGCTTATGGTGTCTTTACAACATACCACTAGCTAATCTATCAGCTCTTCCACGTTCGGGCCCACAGAAGCGACCGGTGGAGGACAGCGACTGGAGGAAGAATGTGGAGGCCATGTCCGGCATGGAAGGCAGGAAGAAGATGTTTGACGCTGCCGCGCAATGAGGAGGTGAGTGACATCACAGGAGGGGGCGGGACCACCTGCTGCCCTCAGCAGCGACATCACAGGAGGGGGCGGGACCACCTGCTGCCCTCAGCAGCGACATCACAGGAGGGGGCGGGACCACCTGCTGCCCTCAGCAGCGACATCACCGGCTGTCAGCCATTTTCAGTGTGTAGCAGAAACTAAGATATAAGTTTAACTGAAAGTATATAAAATTAAATGGCAAACATTAAAATTTTTCACATTTAACTCAATAATAAAGATTATTTGTATTTTACTCAATTGCTTTAGGTTAAGTTAGAGCAAGGGGTTAACACTGAGTTAGTGTTAACCTTGCTGGTTAGGGTGATGCCCTGAGTTCGTACTGCACATATTTGTAAGCCATGACTGTGCCCAACAACATCCATTATTATAGTTTTAAAAGAAAATGTCTTTGTTTTGTAGCAAATGCTTGTCTGGGTGCTCTGGTCATTCTCAGGGAAAACTTGAATTCTTGTTTGTATTATTACCTTTGTCCATCTTAGATTCCTCGCTTAGTCACTTAAATGACTCATCAGCCCTGATTATATAATATACACTTTACTCAGGTCATGCTCCCATTGTGTAGTTTTCTGTCCCAATGCCATCTTTTGTCCCCTACAGGAAATGATGTCAGAGTCGTCGTCCCCCACCCACTCACTGTACCTGTGAAACGTTCTCCCTCCTTCCTGGAGACACACAGGAGAAAAACATCTCAGATGTGTAAGATCCTGCCTCTGTGTAGCTGGTCACCACAACAGCAGCAGCTTGATTTAATCAGTGGCTGAAACCAGAAGAGAAAAAGTTTCATTTTGCTATAATCAGCCATTTATAAAGAGCCCAGTGGATTTTTACTGTATAGCATGCAGATTCCCATTAAGACTTTATGGAAGAAGGAGAGGGCATTTGTTTCATTCTGCATGTTGTAAAAAGAATGTGCTTTTATTTTGCAAAGGGTGGGATTCCCCTTCTCCCATCTCTGCTTTTCTGTGTCTCTTTGATGCTTGTGTAATAAGTCATAAATGTTTTCTATGGTTAACGACATACTGGGTAGTATCCGATGGGTCTTCCTGGCATTTATTTATTCACAGTCTGGTCATTCTGACAAACAGGTCAGGTTCTTTGCTGAATGCTCTTCTCCTGAAAGCACACTGCTGCCTTGTCATGTGACATGTCATGTGACAGGGTTTTTTTTGTGTGTTCCCTTGTTGGAGATTCATAATCATACATGCAGGGTCTGTTTCTTAAGACACACATCGGCCCACCCCCCAAAACACACAACCTGCCCCCTGACCTCACTCCCTGACCTCACTCCCTGACCTCACTCCCTGACCTCAATCCCTGACCTCAATCCCTGACCTCAATCCCTGACCTCACTCCCTTCAGGCTGGGTCCTCCCCTTTTTCTCACTGTACTGACACTGAAATATCAGTATTTTGTTTTTGCCCCCCCCCATACCCAGTCTCATTCCTAGCACCCATCCTACGTCTCATGATTCTGTTGTCCGTCCTAGCCAGGGCAGGTCTTGGAAGAGTGGTGTGTAACCCAAATGGTTAGAATATAGTGCCTGTGATCAGAAGGTTACTGGTTTGAATCCCAGGGCCTGAGGACTGATCCCGCTGTTGGGTTCCTGAGCAGGCCCCTTAACCACCCATATCAATTCAACCAGAATCATTTGCTTTCCTGAACTTTCAAACAGAAACCAATAAAAGGCGAGTTTTTTATGACGAGTTCAGATGCATATCCTCTCTACTGTTCCGTTTCGAATGAGTGATGGTGACCATCTCTGGGACAGCTGGCTGCAGACAGCCAACCATCAGCCACCAAGCATTTGCATGTGGAGATGTCACCAATCTGACCCCACCTCTTAGATCAGATATGACACTGCCAGCTGATGCAAATGGGGACCAGGCCAGTTACTGCTCTCCCCTGACCAGCTGTGGACCAAGCTGGATACCACATGACCAAGAGGCAGCCAATGAGATCTGGCTACAATAAAACCCCCGATGTCCTGAACCTCACTTCCATGATGGCGACTTCCTTACGGTTCCTACGGAACTTATTTTCCATTCAACAACTACAATCACATGATGCAACCTTGCAGCAAAATGACATTTAATTAGTCAACTTCGGTGGCAAATTAAATCCCACTGATCCTCCATACAGCTGGATCCCTGCCAACATCAGGCAGGTTTGAATGCCATAAACAGAAAACTCTGGCAGGTCAGTTCTTGGTTATCTCTGGTCACACCCCTCCACACAACAAGGGAATGATTCATCCTGAATGCCACACAGGAATAGCATGGCTCTTTCACATAATGGAGCACGCCAATCTTCAGTCGCAGTGCAGCTCTGCACACGGTTGCTTTTTCCCAGAATGCACTTTCCCAGCAACCATTTTTATGTTGTCCTTGCTTGTTTGAACAACGTTGTGTACCTCCTGCTCCTATACCACTTACACTATTACCTGGGCATTCACTGGAAGCTCAGCCTAGCTGCACTTACGCCTCGCTGACTCCTTGACAGCCGTATGTTTGTAATGTGCTATTTGCCTCACTTGTATGTCACTTTGAACAAAAGCGTCTCCTAAATGAAATAAAATGTGAACGTTCTTCAGCATGAATAACGCAGTGGTTAAACACGGCCTCGCCCTCAGAGCCACAGCCCCTGCTGTCCAGTGAGCGTGATAAGGGACAGAGTTCAGTTTGGGATGGTGCTGGAGGCAAACATGCGTATGAGGGTGGTTCATGAAGACGAGCGCTGAAGTTCACCTCTGGAACATCACACACTGTGTGCAGACCGACAGGCTGCAGGCGTAGTGGCATTTACCCAGAAACCATGCCTCTGGTACTGAATTACCTCAGCATAGCAAGCATATTGTGAATATAACAACAACAACAACAATAATAATAATAATAATAGACCCTCCACGACCCTGAATAGGATAAGCGGTTACAGAAAATGGATGGATGAATGGATATTATTATTATTATTATTATTCATGTAATGTATTCAGGTCTTTAACTGGAAAGGAAATATATTGTATTTGTTCTAAACCGTGATATTTATTATGAGCATTTGGTCCTGAATGAGGATCAATAGGAATACCAGGAAATATGAACCAAATGTGTAAAATTCATTTAATTAATCGTTATTTTATTAGAGCATCTTGCCGCAGATCGCTTTACTGTGGTATAGCCTACAGTTCTCTCTCGCAAAAGCAGATGATCAAATTGTAGTCAAATGTTCATTTTCAATGCAAATCGGGATGATATGCGTCATTATGGGAAATGGTCAAAGGGCGATATGGAGTTTATAGTAAAGGTGTGGCCGTTCAAGAACAAACACACGGACTCCTACACCGCCGTTAAAATAACTACAACACCACTGTTATGTTATAACACTTTAATAAACCCCTACATTTCACCCTTTTATAAGTTTGGGGGTCGGGGCAATTTTACTATGAATTAAAGCCAGTTAAAAGTTAAGCAACAAGAAGGCGGGGACTTATGAAATCGTTTTGTACTCTGTGTTCCATGGCTGTACGTCAGGTTAGCTTAATTTTTAAAATGTTCACAAACACCTTGTAGTTTGTTCAGTTAGAAATATTAGACGGAGCTGTATTGCAGTTAGATCCATAAAATGAGATGCTTATAACTACAGATAAATGATCTACCTGCCGAGACAAGGATAGATAGGCGGGTCACGTGACCACCCCCAGGTGCGGGGTAAAGGTGCGCGCGGCGCTGGAGGTATGAACGGCAGAGTCTGTCCGAACCGCTGCTCTACAGCACTGATATAAGCCTTTAATTAAAGGTTTACGCTTGGATATACCCCCCTGGAAGAAGGCAGACAGCCATGTCTATCAGCCGGAAGAACTGGTCGGCTCTGTCCAGGTGAGTGTCCGTCAAGGTGAGAAGGGAAGTGAAAGTGAAACGTGGGGGTCCGACATGGGGGGGAAATACTGACCATTAATGCACTCTGAGATGATCAGCCTGATCGCAGCGGCTCTGTTTGGACCCGATTTTAATTACATTAATTATAAGGAAGCTGGTGTTTTCTAGCTGAAGAGTGAAGGTACACTAGTGTGTTTTTGCTTTCAAACCAGGAATATTACTATATATGCCCATAACTGTGAGACTTGAAAAGAGCAAGAAATTGTTAAACTAACACACTTGCGAAAGTCAATACGTCTTCTCCTATTTACTGCATACTCAAATAATAATAATAATAATAATAATAATAATAATAATAATATACAAAACATTTTTTTAACTGGAAAGGAAATATATTGCATTTGTTCAAGGCAAAATTCAGGACTCAGACTATACTTGCAGTCAGATCTGTTTGCATGATCTAAGTCATAATATACGTATCATAAATATGAATATGTATCCATCCGTAGAGGTGGGGGTACACCCTGGGCAGCACGCGGCTCCATTCTTGGGACACACGTTGACATGTATTATCGGCCAATTTAGAAACGCAAGTTCACCTAACTGCGTGTCTGTGCTTCGGGGGGATTTAAGCCCCCTCCCCCGAGCCCTGTGCCACCGTGCTACCTATGAATATAGATGAGATTTTAAAAAAACTTACTCTTAGATTTGCCGTTTTTATTAAAGCGGCTAATTATGACGTCGGTGTCAGTTTTATTTTGTTGCGTAGAAAGGCAGTAGCGGCCATACTCACCCATACCGATGTGTGTTTTAATGACCGTGAAAACACCGTGCTGCAGTCAGGCCGGCTTTCAAGCATTCAGTAAGGGCATAACTTTGGGTTGAGCATTAGAGGGTTGAGGTCTCTACCCATTTAAGAGGGTCCAGGGGGTTGTATTGGCTGGTTTTGATCACTGTGGGGGGGTTTACAACCCTCCCCATAATTTACACCCATGCATTCAAGTGTCTCTGACTGTTACTCTGTGTCCTGCATTTTACAGTTTCGGTTTCCTTTAATGAAAAGTAGTGATAAGGTATAGCTGAGTATGGCGGTGAGCTTTAATAAAACGGCCTGACCCTCTGTGTGCTGGAATTGACGCTGTCCGGCCTTAATGCTGTGTTATCTATGCATCTCAGGAGAGTTGGAGCACCCTCGCAAAAGTCTAAGGTTCCGTTGTCCTCCTGCTGTTTTGCTGGCCCTTATTTGCAGTGTGGGGCTCAGCAGGATAGGATGCTGTGCCTGTGATCAGAAGGTCACTGGTTCAAATCCCTGGGTTACCAGAATGATTTTGATATCGGGCCCTTGACAAGACTCTTAAGTCTGAGTATCTCCAGGTAGGGATGCTTTAATGTGTAGGCTTACCTGGGCCGACCACAGGGGCCAAACTAACCTTGTATCTCCCCCCCCGTCAACAACCTTCACTAGCCTCGCCAGCTGTCCTCCAGATATAATTTAGGTACAGTGTCACCTCACATATACTAATATTCTACATATAATCTCAATTAATATTTTAAGTAACCACAGAAATATCAGTTACTCTACACATAACTGATCATCGTGCCCCGTTCTGGCCCATTCACACCCCCCTTCCCGAAATAACGTAGCTGCCTCGTGTTTGGGTTTGGGGCGTGGCCCAGCTAGCCAGGCTATGCTAAGCTAAAAACAACAAAGGTGAGAATGCAGCCATGGTAACACAGAGAGCCCTGTGGCCTGCAGTCTGACCCGCCAGTGGACAGTGGAGGATGAGGAGGAGGTGGAGCGTGAGCGACGGAGGAAGAACCGGAGCCATAGCAATGCGACGGACCCCGACGATGACCCCACGGAGGACTCTGCTCCAACGGCGGTGGGCAGGTGAGGTCGGCCTGGTCCGATTTCACGCGGGAATTGCTCGTGAAGCAGCACAAGGAGTGTCACAAGAAGTATGCCGTGTGCGTTCAATGTCGGTGATTTTTACAGACATCATCTAAGGATGAGAGTGTGGCGCTTATCAATGTAACTTTACCTGATAGTTCATCACAGGAATTAGTATAAGGACACGTAGTAACTTGTAGTGGCTGAATGTGCCCGCTTGTAAATGCAGGGCCGGATTAAGTGTTCTAAGTGCCAAT